TGGGAGAGGAAAGGGAAGAAAAATAAAAAAAAATGAGGGAAAGGGCGGGAAGGTGGGGGGGGGGGGAGAGAGAAAAAAATCCCAGAGAATCACTTAAGATGCACCCCACGTCAGAAGAAGATGGGTATGGTCTTGTGTTATTGGCATTGAAAACAACCATTCCCATTTTTTTAAAATGTATTTTTCCATTTTTATGATACAACCTCATTCCAAACTGTATTTATCCCTTTCCTCAAGATGTGGAAAGAGCAGAAACACCTCGATTTTGAGATGTCCGTACTTATGATTCACAGCTCTTAGGTTTCTATTCTTAAATGTACAAAAATATCAAAAACTTTTTGCTCATTGTTACAATGGGTTATTTGTGTGTAGAATTTTGAGGAACGCAATTAATTTAATACAATTTTGAATTAGGTCGTAACAGCAAAATGTGGAAAAAGTGAAGTACATTATGTGCCTTTTGTTTTGCAAGAGGCACTTTGTTGCAAAAAAAAAAAAAAAAAAGCAAAAGCAAAAATAAAACAAGCATATGAGCTTTTTTTCATGTAAACCAGCCAGTCACAAAACTAAGCCTATTTTGAAAAACAATTTATTTCAGAAAATCATAATCTCAATAGCATTTCAGTTGATTCTGAAAAATGTTGAGCAAATGGTTCCTTTAACACAGCAGCAGGAAATGCCTCTGCATCTAACTGCAAAACCGTGCAAGTGTGACTGAAAACCAGTGAGAAGTGTGAAAACAGATGAGAAATTACTCATAACCTGACAGTTTTAAGCTGATTTTCATAAGTAAGAAGTCAAACTAACATATAACTTATTTCATAACAGCTTTCAATATGAGAGTACAGAGAGCAGCTTTAAAGATGATATAGAAATGTTGGGTATAGCTTAAAACTTGCATCATTTACAGATGAGCACTAACAGTCACATTATACGCTAAGAAAAGACAACAGAGCATTGAAACTTAACTTATCTGGATCAAGAAACATAAGCGTCAAATTTAAATAGTCGCTCTGCATTTTAAACTATTTGTCAGTCTACTACTAAACTCAATTTGAGATGAATAACAGGTTGTAAGAGAATAAATTTGCACTCCAATAGCATTTATAAAACTTTTTTTTTTATTTGTAATAATACACCTGATTATTGATGGTGGTAATATATTTTATTAAATAAATAAAAGCAAAATGGCTTTTATGTGGATATCATGGTGGTTCTTGCTTACTATAATGCTAAGAAAATACAAATTAATTAATGCTCATCAGTCTGGAAAGGGTTATAATGGCATTTCGAAGGTTTTGGGACTTGTTACGGCCCTGGGCCTTGTAGGCTGGGTTGCAGGTGTAAATGCACTTTAACCCCTGCATGGTCTCCTGTTTTGTTTTGACCTTGAGTCGTAACAGGACTCAAGAGGATCAAAATGTGGTCGCCTAAATGGATCAAATCAATCATCTGAAAAAGGCACTATGGTTTTGTTGAAAAAAAAATGGTGAGATGTAAAAGAAAAAGACATACAAGTGTGAAAAAAAATCTGGACTTTCTTCATCAACTGTTATGTTTCTTAATCCACTTCATGTAGACATACTTTACTATTGTATCAATTGATTTTTGAGGTTATTTTACCTGCAAAGGTTGACAAATGACCTCAGGTTCTGATTGTGTGCAGGCTCCAAAATCTGTAACAAAAAAAACAAAACAAGAAGATCCCTTAAAGGCTGGAGAAAACAAATAGACATCAAAACCCCAAAGTTTTGTCTCAAGTGTCCTTAAGCTGCAGATTTGTTATAAAAACACAATGGCGGGGCAGATAGGGTACAATAAAGTATCTTGAATCTTGAATCTTGAAATGACATGTATGAAGGGGCGTTATGCCTATATTCACCCTGTTCCGTTTCTCTGCCTGCCAGCCACTCATGCAGGAAGAGAAACAGGGATTACCAAGCTCAGTTCGGGGGCTCAGACCACTCGCACACCCGGCCATAGAAGGAACTTGAGGAAGCCAAGAATTCTGGAGATGTGTTGACACATTCACATCACACTTTGTCTCTCTCACACAATGTTAAGAAGATCAGAACTACAACCACCATAGAAGGCAGGGGTCTATTTCCAGGGGCCACAGGATGTGTGCGTCCATATAATGGCAGACAGTGTACTGCACTGGTGCTATGAAAGCATGCGCAGCCCATGACCCCCATTTCAGTATAACCTGCTGTCACAGACACAAATACGAAGGACAAATAAGAATCAAGATTTTGATTTTGAGGTACTAAAGTCCCACAAAAATCTCCAGCATAATGAGGGTCATGTAAATTTGTCAGATGAAAAAGAATGAGACAAAAAAAAAAAAACAAAAAAAAAACTGAATATAGCTGATACACTTGACTAATCAAATCAGAAAGTGGCAGCTATTTGAGTTGAAATAAGCAGCAGATTAACTGAACAGCAACAAATGGACCCTGTTGTCTGGTTCATGGTGGCAGCATGTTGGAGCAGCTCTGTTATGTTAGTTCAGATTTGTTCTTTTTCTAGATCTTTTTCATAATGTTCTCTTTGGTTTTTAAATGGTGTGCAGCTGGAAAAAATTGGAGACTTTTTACTATGTGCAACCATGGCAACAATGTATATTTTGCAAATGGAAGCGGCTGATTAGCATCTTAGAAGCTCAAATAATACATCAACTATGACCCCCAATCTCAGAGGAAATAAAAAGGAGGCTTCAGGCAGTCATGAGTGTCACACATCAACATTCTTCAGTCAGAGACCTCTTCAGGTTGTTCTAATACAGACTGCTACCTGATATCCTTCCTGCCCATAGCCTCACCATTCACAACAATTTCAAGATTGTTGAATGACATGAGCTACAACAAAATTTTATTTCATGTACAGTGTGTAGATGATGAGCTCATCTGAGATAAGACCAACCACACCATCAGCTAATGTAGAACTTGGCATCAAGGGCTAAAATTGATTTCTTCTGCAAATCTTGATTTGACAAATATTGCTCCCTTCTCACCCAGTGTTCAGAAGGGAGCAATATCTATCAAATCCCTGCTGTTTTTCTGTTTGCTTTTGGTTCATGACAAACATAAGGGATGTTTTCCAAACTCTGTCAGTACTCATCACTAGCTCTCAATGGGCACAAAAGATAAACATCTTAACATGAAATCTTTTAAACACTTTACATTAAAGATCTGTACCAAAGCATGTCAATACATTTATCATGCAAACAGGTTACTGCTGCCTCTGCCTACCTTGTCTTCCCTCAGATATGCTCTGATCAGGTTGAACATCTGTGCAGACGGAGGAAAGAGGAGTTGATGTATCTCTCACTTCTCCTTCCCCAACTGTGTCCACTACTGTCCACTTTTTCTCCCCGTCCTCTTCTTCAACTCTCTCTGGCGAATAGTCAGTTTTTTCCTCAGGGCTGCAGTCTCTTTTCCCATCCTGCACCCAGCAGTTCCCCTCTGCTAGTTCATTTTTCAAGAAGTCCTGTAGAGCAAACTCTTCATCCCAGTCCAAGTCAGGCTAAGAGAAAAATTACAGAAACAAGAAAAATGTAAGAATATCAGGACAAATCCCATTGATGAAAGTGCTGGAGGTGGCTCAGATAAAGCAGCTCATCTCCTTGTTCCATTCCACCATTCACAATCTGAAACCTATGAGACCAACTGCACCAATTGAATCTACAGGTACTACTAATCTTTTAAGATTTGAAAGTACCATGACAAGTACATGTTCATTTAATCCACAAAAAAAAAAGAAGTTTTATCCAAAAGCAAATTACAAGAGGGATCAGCTCAACCCCTAAGAAAAAGCCATGATTTTTAAATAAGTTTCAAACATCAGCAATGGGCTGTTTGAATAATTTGAAACTAGGAGCTGCATTAAAGCAGAATGATTTAGTCATTGTATGTAACAGCAGTGCCACTGTAATGCTCCAGCATGCGCAAGCACGACAATCTGAGGTTTAAAAAGTGTGTAGGTGTGTGGCCTTATTAATTTTTTGTGTGGGCGCTCATGTCCACTTAACTCGCCGGCTCAAACTCGGCTGTTCTCTACCAGATGCTCCAGCTGTCTACAAACAAAACAAGCTGCATCACTGCATCTGACGGGCCAAAGTGATAACTGTGTTGGCGTCACGGATTACGCATTTAAAGTACTAAAAACTGAAACGTAAACCAGTAAACACCTAGACTACATAACGTGTTGTCTGCTTTAACGTAATTAATCAATTGTACAATAACATCCCTCTTCCCTCCTCTCAGACCTCCTCCTCCTCTGGTGCAGGTGTTTGGCATGAGGCCTCTCTGCTGTCTTGAGATATCTTTAGCTGCTCCAGTTCCTCGCACAGCTGCCGCTTCTGGTTCTCCTGCTCCTGCACCCTGGAAGACAAAATCCCCCCAGTTAGATTTTTCCCAAGCAAATCGCAGCACAGGGGCGCAGAACTCCCAAAGCGTCTGGAAGTATCAGAATGAAAACGTATCCACACAAAGCTCCTGGATGAAAATAGACATACGGTACCCAATCCGCAGGCCCATGCAGTGTCCCATTCTGTTGCCCACGGTGACCAGCGCCAGTTCTCCCACTGGCACTGTATTGATTTCCTCACTTTATTTCTGTAGATGTAGCCTTTAATATTGCAGCCCACAGACCAAGATGTGACTTATGCTAGAGCCATGCCTCTGTCTTACAGGCTGTACCTGGACAGCCAATCTACTCTCCCTCTCTACTCTAATATCACACTGGCCTAGGCCTTTTATACATCTGAAGGGGATGGGTGTCTCCATAAACACACATCGAAACACACACAAGCTTGCAGCACATGGCAAATTCTCTCCATCTCTCTCTCTCTCACACACAAAGTCAGAGGGAAATCCAGGAATGGCCCAAACTTAGTGAGGTAAGCCTTTTGGGGTCGCTGTGGTCAGGATAATTAGCTGGTCTTCCTCTTTTCAGTACAACTGACTAGTCAACTGAGACAAAGAACAAGCAACAAAAAAGGGGATACTTTCATCTTAAAAACTTGTCTGCTGTTAGCTTTAACTTTTTCAAGAGATGAATGAACAAAGAACAGAGTTTCTACACTTTTTATGTTAAAGTTTTACACTTTTTCTGAGAAACTTTACCATGAATTTATGGACAAGATGTTTACTTATGCTAGACTTTAACTATGAAACATGCAAAGAAAAACAATAGACAGAGGGATGCATGGACGAGTGATGGACTGACAGATGGAAGAGAAATCAGAAGGACAAAAAGATGAGCAGATTGACAAGTGGACAGAGGGACACAGATAAAAGGCTGTTTAGCTGCATCAGCTGGATTGTTGGAGAGAAACTAATCAGGGGACTGACAGACTGATCAACAGATGGACAAACAACAGACGGATGAACAAATGGACAAGAGGACAAATGGACAACCTGACAATAGGATGTTAGTTGACAGTTTTAGGGTTGCTTAAACTTCAAAGATGATCCAATTTAAAATGATATATTTTTTAAAATTACTCTACATTTTGAATAGTTGCTGTTGGTAAATAAAAAAATGTTTTAGGGTCCTTAAAGTCTCTGCCAGTCAGTACTGAAAAAGTTATAATTCTAGCTCCGCCTACTAGAAACTGATTCATCCAATAAGATCACTCTAAACCAAACATCCCATGTTCTCATACCAAATATCCACAAATTCCTCTCATCCAGTCAGATCAGACAATCAGAATGCACTCACCTGACTGAAAGGTGGAGGATCTCAGTGCGGGATCTCCTCATGTTGCTGGCCATTTTGATCAGCTCCTTTTCTAATGAGTCAGTGTACTGAGCCAGCTGGTCCAAGCCGACAGCCCAGTCTGCCCTCCTAGCATCGAGCTCAGCCTGCACCGTCTGCAGGCGGACAACGCAAAGGGGTCACCGTCTCTCCAATGGATGAAATGCTACAGGGTGAGCAACCTGTAGCATCTTGTTTTAAAAATACTCATTTTCCCTGCTGTACTGAAATGCCACAACATAAAACTAGCTTGTACCGCTTTCACCTCAGGTGCACTAAAGCTTTCTGTCTCATTGGGGATGCTTTTTGCTGTTTGACAGTAGAAGGCTAATAAATGCAGAGTGGCAGCAACACAGAAGAAGAAAAAAAAACACAGTGAGGAAGGGAGGAGGGGAGTGGGTTGTGATCATGGTACAACACTGACTAAACAGCACTGCTTGGATGGAGCCTGTTACATAGTTATATAAGTGAGATCTCCAGAGAGGAGAAATATTGTGTGGGAAGCAGAGAGAGAGGGAGAAGGAAAGAGAGAGAGCAGATACAGCGATGTGAGGAAGATGGAGAACTCAGAACTTTGTGACTCATGTTAGGTATGAAAATAGCTTGTTACAGATTTAAAGGCAAAAACATGTAGATTTTTATAAAGTATTTCACCAAAAGCTTTAGCTATGCACAAAGTTTTCTTATTTAGCTTTGTTTGGGTATCGAGATTTTGCAAGTGGTCAATTCAGAAATAGATATTCAGAAATTTTAATATTTGTGAACTCCTTTCGTGTCAATCATTTATTTAAGACATTTTTACAGGCGAGCGAAAAAAACAACACTGATTTATTTAATCATAAAATTGACAAAAATCAACCATTTTAGGATGTGTGATATTGAGAGATCCTAGACCGAATTAAAACTCAAAATCACATGAAGCAGCTACCACTTCTGTATTTTCTTCTACTTTGATGTATGAAAGAAAACAGTCTAAGCTTTTGATAGATACAAGCCAAAACTACAAGCCACTACCACTATCTCGCAAATTGATATATAAAAGAGGCCAGCAACATTAAAGCCTACAAGGCTTAAATGAAATTGAACAATAACGTAAACGACAATGCCACACAATATTAGTAAACTACTCAATCTAAGAGAGCCATAGTTAAGATTTTTAAATTAACTGGAGAGCATCTAACCTGAAGATCAAGGTCGCTGTTGCTGTTTGACTTTGTGTGGTTATCCATCATGTTTTGAACTGCAGATAAGACGCAGGTGGCTTCTTCTTTGAAATCTCTTTTCTGGGAAACAAAGACAGAGCATACTATCAAAGCTAAGGAAGTATAATAAAGGTAAAAGACACAAGTACTGACCTTCTTGAAATACTGCTCTAAACCTAACCTATCATTATACCATCTCTAGTCTTTTGCTCTTTGGCAATGCACCACAGTTTTCAAGCACAGGTTTCAGATGGCAGTCATATCTTTCTACACCTATAGAAACACCATAAACAGACTTTTAAAATAACAAAACCTATCCACCGTTGTACCTAAATACAATTAAATGCCAGTGAAAATACAACAAATGCAACAGGATGCTGTGCTCAAACTGGATGGGTTCTGGCTATTCAATATTCAAACAGATTTATCAGAAGTTCAGGTCATGGTTTCAAATGTAATCATACTCAATTACCAGTTTGTTTAAGAGACTCTTGTACTCCACAGCTACATGTTCAGTGTTGGGTCCCTGCAGCATCAGCAACACCTCTCTGTCCAGCGTTTCGTCCAGCGAAGAGGCCGTGGTCATTGTAGTGGACAAATAGTTCACTCCAGCAGAAGTCTGGAAGCATAAGTGATTTTTTAAAATCAATTAGCAAAAGGCCTTGTGCATCACTTACTATCACTTTGTGATAGTAAGTGATGAGTGGTGAAGAATCAAGTCCTTTCTTGTACAAAATGTTTTCACTGAACACTTAAATTATACAATGAAAGCTGAGCAAAATAGAGAGAGTGGAGGGGTGCTGACCTCCAGTGGTGACTGTGCCAGAGCCAGTTCTGTCTGTAGGGATCCCAGACTGCTCTGGTTTAATCTGTAAGCCACTGACAAAGCCATACTAGCCCTGTGAGGCAGACAGGGTAATGGGTTTAGGGAAAAAATTAAATAAAACAATTACGTTCTTCCTCTGAAAAAAGGAGCCTTTTTTTTTTAACGAGATGACTTGAAATACTTACCCAGCGAGATCTGGAAGAATCATCTGTATTTGGGTCTCAAGCTTGTTTTTATCCTTCCTCAGCAGCTGGATTAGAGAAAATGAGAGGCAACAATATAATTTCCAAAGAGAGCGTGTGATTTAGTAAATGACAAGTTCATTACTAGGCATATATGCTTTAAATGACAAATATTTAATTTAATTCAACAAATGTTATCATTTTTTGGGAGAATTTCTTGTCTTCAGTCTGACTTTATAATAAATTAGGCATGGATGAGAGTCATCAGTTGACTTTAACTCAATGGCAGGGGAAATTAAAATAAACATTTTAGTACATATATAACTCATAATGTGATGCATGTTACCAGACTGACCTCTGTGATGGCAGAATATTCCTCGACTGCTGCCTTCAGCTCATTTATCTGTCTGTTCTTCTGCAGGAAGTAAGTGGTATAGGTTTGAGGTTTGTAAAAATGTGAAAACTGCCACTGGTCATTTTACTGGGATTTCATTTGAGAGACCAACGCAAAGCGGTGCATAATTGTGAAAAGGAAAAAAAAAGTGACATGGTTTCCAATTCTTTCCAAAAGAAAATCTAAAAACTTGGAGTGAATAGTTTATAGATCGATCTTTCACCATAATAAAAGCTACAAATGTTTTCTGGTGTGTCCTTACTAAAATATTTACACAAGTTTTCTTTAAATCAGAGAAAACGGAACATAAATGCACAATAAACAGATTTAGATTTTTTTAATAATCTAAAATCTATTGGAAATCTAGAAATGTTAAGTTAGCACATTAAAATGCTGTATTATTTCATGTTGTCACTTTTTAAAATCTAAATAAAATGCATAATTTGAGGCTGAGATTTAAAAGGTTTTAAACTTCTTGCAATGCACCTGAATTTAGATTTATTGGTAAAAAATGACTGCACTGATTAATAGCAGCTTTAGAACAGTACACTTGACAAGTTAACTCACCTCCACAATAATAGATTCTTTTTCACCAATGACGGCATCAAAGGAGTGATTTTGCAGCTGGATAAAGGTCCAAAAACATAAATGTGGATCACTATTATTATGCAAAGATACTTTTAAAAGTTCACAATTTATGTTAAATGATTGAATATATGTTATAGAAAACTGTCTCAGAAGAATCCAACCAAGCAGTGGTGCATAATGGGGGTATCAGGAATAAAAGACAAGTGGTAGAAATACCTGAAGGTCAGCGTTAAAGTCACACAGCTCCCTTATTTTGTTCTGGAGCTCGTCTGTCTCCATGGTGATCTTAAAGTTCTAGGAAATCAATCAGTCAGACGTTTGAACAAATAGTCAGCTCTGTTCGGATTGGACCACGTTATTAGTATTTTCAGTAATTATGTCTGTTAAGTGAGGTTATTTACTCAGTACCTCTTCCTGAAGGGATGCAATCTGGGCAATCAGGCTCTGATTTTCTCTCTCCTAGGAAAAAAATAAATATCCATACATAACTCACATACATAACTGCATGCCATGCAGTTTTCTTACATTTTGAAACCTCAGACTAAATATTTATGTAAATCAAGTCTGATGACATAATATTTATAATCTGTAATGGAAAAAAAAAATAACTAGTGATCTGCTAAGAAACTAACACCAGGGCTTTAATTAAACTCAAACCATAAAGCTTTGTAATTTCAGAACAGATTGCACCATCAAGTAACACCAAAGATGTCTTCTTCAGCCTCAAGATGCATGACTAACCATACGCTTGCTGTGTGCCGAGGCGCGAGCTCTCCCTTCTTCTGTACAGCTCAATGTTGCCTTCATCTCTTCCACCTCTTCTTTCAGCATCTTCTCCTTCTGTGTAAGCTGTTGGTTTCTGTCGTAAAATAAGAAGGACGAATAAGGCCAAAATAGGCTGCTTCAGTAGGCCAGCACTTCACATTTGTGAGAGAATTAGGAGAACCTTACAGCCTGGCTTGATTGCGTAGGTCCTCGTTTTCCTCTGCCAGTTTCTGGTTGCTCTCCTCCATGCTCTCCACCACCTGCTTCAGCTTCCGTACCTCTTCCTGAAGCTTTTGGTTGCTCATTTGAAGATCAGCAACACAATATACCAGCTCTGATGTTTCACTGGGAAGGGGAAATGAAAAACACAAACACTTGTCTGTGAATAATACCCTATATGCAAAATACTGGGTGTCACATATAAAACAAAAAAACTTGGCGGACTTGTAACTTTGACTTACAATTCCACTCTAGATGCCTCTCCACCAAAGGCCTCCAAGCTTCCCGATGTCATATTTAGCAACATAGACCTTCGGGCTGCAAAACACACAAACAAAAACCAATAGTCTCTACGTGTTGACTACAAGTTGCATCTACAGGTCAGATGGGTGGTTAAACGAATATTCACCAGAGGCACCATCTTTGAGTTTAACTGAGTCTTCCTGGATGTGGTTCTCTGCTGAGACTTCTCTGTGATAAAAAAAAAAAAAAAAAAAAAAGGTGAACTCATTTTTAACAGTCATTTATTATAAAACAGTTTCAAAGGTCCCAAAATAAACTGAAAGAGCAGCAAGGAGTTTAAGAAATGCAAAATGCTTTGGGTGAGTAGTCCACTGACGTCTCTACTTTGGTTACGTTTGTCTAAAAGGGAAGAGATGTTTGCCCCCATGTATGGCACCATGTTCAAAGCAAAAAGAGAAAGATTTCAGCACAATGCCTCAAAGTAACTTTGAGGGACTGTGGTGGAGGATAAATTTGACTTATTTTGCAGGTTCAAGACCCTGGAATCTTGCAGTCAGTGAGTCAATCATGAACTCTTCAGAACACCAGAGCATTAAAAAGTTAATTTATTTGTATCACAACTAAAGCTAAGCCAAGACTACTGCTGCTGCTGGCTAGATTAGCGAACACTGCAGTAAATACAGTAGCTTAAAAGGAAATGATCAAGGTATTGCAATGGCCCAGTCCAATTCTAGACAATTTCAAATTGCACAAAAACCACAAAAGCCAAAAACCGCTAAATATAAAGAAACTGAAACTGACAATAGGCATACAGAAACGGACTACTTAAAGTAAAACCACATTTTCCCAGTACCTGCTATTGCGGCAGTCATCTATCCACTCCTTCATGACAGCGTGGTAGGTGTCCAGATCAATGGACACGTCTTTATGTTCTGGGTCCAGCATGTTGCAAAGTTCCTCCAGTCCACTGTCTTCAGAGCTTCGACTGGTTGTGTGACGCAGGTAGTTGACAATATGAGACACGTACACTTTACCTAGAGTGTGAAAGCGTGACCAAGTTTTAGGAGAGAGCCGTCTTTGACAACTCCGACACAGTCGATTGAAAGCACTGATGTTTGAATTCTGTAACATTTTTATCTCTCACAACAAACCACCAGTTTCAATCTGCTGGTTTTCTAGGTTTTGACAGTGATCGTGTCCACTTTGGCACCCAGTGCTGCTTTAATGGAAACAAAAGCAGTTACCATAGTGATAGTGAACCTTTTTCAACTACTGGGTTTATAAAAGATTTCTCACTCCAGGCTAAAACTAAGTTTGTGGTTACATAAACAGTAACCTATCAAAATTTTCCATTTTAAAAAAAAAGTAGACCAATGACAGAGGAGTTCAACCTCTTTCATTTCACTTACTCCAACAGTTAAGCTGAAAGTGATTCATATTCCTAAATTTAAAAGTATTTTTACTCATCCACAAAGATTGATTCTAATAGGAAATGAGGAGTGTACGCAATTTAAAACAGTTTTACATGAGTTTATACAAGTTTATTTACAAAAGATTTGTATCTAGGATTTTCACTCTTCTCAGTAATCAAGGAAACGTGTCACATTGTCCTTACAGTAGTCCAACTTTTCTTCTGTTAAGCATTTTGTGTACTTTCTTTGGAAATTTGAACATTTTACTTCTTGCCATCATCTCAGTCTTTACCTCCCTCCACAGATAAGTTTTGCACTCTAGCTGGGCTCTAACAGGGGTATGAATAATATTCTAAAATATAGTTGCAATGTAGTTAACGTACAAATGTCTTCAAGTACCATTTATGCCAACTGAATGGTAAAAAAAAAAAAAAAAAAAAAAAAAAAATTTTTCAAAATTTTTTTTTTTTTTTTTTTTTAAGAACCCTTAAGG